CTATTAAGTGAAGTGTCAGAGAATCCAGTGGTAGGTCATCCATTCCAGATAATGATGATGGTGGTGATGACTTTGGCGATGGCCAGAATGTATACATCACTCACCAGGGGCCAGGGACCACTCTAGATACTTAACATTTATTAACGTGGTTGATCCTGACAGTAGCCCTGCAGAGTAGCTGCTATTATCACCCCCATTTATAAGTGGGGGAACTGACTAAGAGGGCAGCTAAGTAACTTGTATAAGGTCCCACGGCTAACGCGGTTGAGTCAGGATTAAAACCCATCTGTCCGGCTCCAGAGCCCATGGTTTCATTTTGCCTTTTACCAACAAGCTCATCTCTCCCCCAACCCGAACCTCCCTCCACATCCCTGAGTCGTCTTCTTAAAACCTTACTAGGTCCGGTCGTCCCATCACTGGGATGGAAGCTCTTTGTAGCTCTCAGAAAATAAGATAAAATGAACTCCTATTTTAAAAAGCTTCGAAAGTTCCCAGCATAAAATATTCTTTATGTCTGATCCTTGTCATTCTCATTTCCTGCCCTTTCTGCTCCCCCCTCTTCCAGCTGCACCAATTCACTCCCATCTCCACGGACAGGGACCATTTCACACCACTGTCTTTCTCAACACTGGGTTTTCTTTCCGGTGAGCTTTCCTCTCTCTGCACTGACTTCAGTGCCTCACAAATTTCAGCTGTTCACACATTTCCCTTCCCCTTATTTACTCTACCCATGTACCTTGTACTATAATTTCAAAATTCGTACTGAAATGGGCATACTTTTTGAGTGTATTTATTGAAAAAAATAAACTTCAAATCACACCGCAACTTAAATACTAGACTCACGCGCTACACACAAAGAGTCATACTAAAAATAATTAATGTAAACAAAATAAGTTTGCTGAAGTTTGACGTGTGCCATTGTCGGAAGACTTTTTTGAGCTTGACACTCACTTTCTCTTTGCAAAAGTATTAAGCTGTTGAAAACATGCTTGTTTTTAACTGGGGCTTCCAATCAGAAGGACCTCCAGAAAGACAAAGAATAACGTTCTCACTTATCCTGTGTATTTTTAACACAGGATCTATGGCCTTGCATGACCAGTGTGCATCTCTTACTTATCTGATATTAAATTAAAATGAGATAAGCCTCTCAATCTCTTTGTGAAAATAAGAAATCTGGTCAGGCCACAGACTCCATCCTGCAAGTGGGAGAAGAGGGATGCTATAAAGATAGGCCAGCTTCTGCAGTATTTGTGCTGTGTCAGAAAACGGAGCCGCCAATCACAGCATTGTCACTTGGGCATAAAATCATCAAAGAGACAACCAATAACAGAGCACACGTTTCTTTTGAAGGTGATTTCTCTAGTTCCACGTCCATATGTTTAAACTTTGCAGAGTTTTACAGGATCCATTGGTTACATTCCACTTACAAGGCTATATTGATGTTAACAAAGAACTGAAGAAGTTGGTAATGGTTATGGATATTTGCCCAACTCTTCATATTGTGCCCAAAGCCCAAGATTTATATTCTTGTAAGGGTCCTCAGTGGAACACATTATCAAATCATATTTTTTTTTTTTTTTTTTTTTTTTTTGCGGTACACGGGCCTCTCACTATTGTGGCCTCTCCTGTTGCGGAGCACAGGCTCCGGACGCACAGGTTCAGCGGCCATGGCTCATGGGCCCAGCCGCTCCGCGGCATGTGGGATCTTCCTGGACCGGGGCACGAACCCGTGTCCCCTGCATCGGCAGGCGGACTCTCAACCACTGCGCCACCAGGGAAGCCCTCAAATCATATTTTTTGAGAAAGTTTTAAGTTGCAGAAAGTTCTCTGTTGCTCAACAGCTGAAGGAGGGGGGCCCATTGTTATCCCTTCCTTAGACTCCCTGTGCTAACCCGAAACACTTGATACATATTTATTAAGGCCACAACCTAGAATGCCATTAGGTAGCTTTAAACAAGAACAGGACCAAAGAGCAAACTCTTACTGTCAGAAATGAAAGGAATGAACAAAATTTAACTTAGTACAAAATAGAAACATTTTCTAAAAGAATGGGAGTATTTTATAACTGTAGCCCTGCATGTATGAGCATGTGCTCTGATGGGCCATCGTCGCGGGTCACCCTTCTATTGGGTCATCCTTGAAAATTAGGAGGAGTCTGTCAAACATCTTTAGTTCTCCCATATTCTGTATGGCATTTTCATCCTCTTTTGAATCACTTGGTGGTTTCATAAAGAAGGTTATAAAATTGGTAGTCAACGATATCACTTCTAGTTTCCCAGCTGCTTTGAAAGGATGGTTACATGGTAAAGTAGGTCACCTATATAGCCACATAAGCAGCTTCGGACTTTCAACTCTGTAGGGATCCCTTTGAGGAATAGATTAAAACATTCATTAAGCTACCACTGAACCCCACGGCCTGCATGAAATTTACCCCTAACCATACTTGAACAAGAAGCTTATTCTGTTATATCAACTATTTTCCACATGATTTTCACTTCAGGGATGCATTCTGTGTGTTCTTTGTGGCTTTGCTATTGGCAGCAGAGCCTCAAGTCCTTAAGCTCTTCTTCCTCTGCCCTGATGCTCACTCATGGAGCTTGCCCTTGCTGACTCTGGTTCCCAAGGGTAATTCTTGCTCTCTTGTATATAACTGTGCCCCTGTTTGAGGGACTTACTTGCTGACAACCTGTAAACGGCGGAACTAGTCCTGCATTAAGGAAGCGATTTGAGAGGGGACTTTAATGTCACATTGTGCCACATCTGTGTGTCATCGTTAAGGGACACCACCTGCAGAATGTCCTGAGTAAACAGAATTGGCTGTCAAAGAAGGGAGAGGCGGCGTGCCTTCAACCGTTCCTGTGTACAGAATGTTCACAAGCCACATGTTTATAGATCAGGGAATAATCCCCCTGAGGGAGGAATACCAGAAAGGCCCTGACCCTGTGTGGACAGGAGGAGGGGGCAGCACGGGGACCAGTGGATTGGACATGTTTAGTTGTTTTTATTATCAACTTATTGAGAAAGCAGGAAATGGGAGGGGGACCGGAAAGGAGTGAGAAATAAATCCCTTGCGTGTCAGCTGTTATCTGATTAATTGTGGATCCGTGGTGGGGTTATCTGTCGTTTTTAGGGAACAGTGCGGACCTCCGTCTGGTAAAGACTTTCATAGAACTGGGGCTCCCTGGAGGAAAACTGGACTTCCTAATGTCTGAAAAGAATCAGGTATGACAACGAAAGCATCAGAACCGAAAGAATCCCTGTTTCGTGTCTTAGATGAGCCTCCTAAAGTCACCGTGATGGTTTATGGCCACACAGATGGGAGGGGACTTTACCAAGGAACACTGCCCAGGCACTTGGAAGGTCTGGAGAGCTCATTTTCTTTTGGGAGGAGGAAATAGTAAGAAGGGGGGACATGTGAGTCAGGTGACTGGGCCTTTTGACCTCACAGGTCATAGGTTGAGTGACAGCTCAGAGCATAAACGATTGGGCATCCGTGGGTCTGTACTGGGGAAGGAGTTTGTCACTGGCATCTTTGTAACCAATGGAGCTGGATTATGACCTTTTCACAGTCAGAGGTAAACTATGGGGCCTTTGCCATTTCAGGTCTGGAGCCTTAATAGGATGTCAAGGTAGATGAGAACTGAGAGATTCCATGGCCAAGAGATGGGGCTGGGTGGAATGTTGTCATTGAGTCCCATTCCATGGGACTTGAGAGGGATGAGGCTAAGTGTTCTTTGGAGGCATAGGACTACTTATAACTAAAGGGTCCCATGACCACTGACAATGGGAATCGTACAGAGAATAATCAACAAGCAAACGCTGGAAGGTACAGTCTCATTCCTCCTCTCTCAGTGGTCCGTCCTGTTGCCTTTTCTTTGACACCTGCTGTGTACAAGGCATGCACTTGGGTGCATGGGGTATAAACGTGAGCAGGAGGAAAGAGGATCGCTTTGAGGATCTACGATGCGCTGAGCAGTTGGCGTCTTTCTTCATTTATTTTTCCCAACCGTTCCGTGAAGTGTTGGCACCGCTGTCGCCTCACAAAGAGGGAACCCACAGTCTGACCTGGAGATCCCCAATCGGGGGCTCCTTTTCTGGTTGTCGAATACCGATTTGTACCCTAATGTCAGGCGTGGGCATGCCCCCAGGACGCACGGTGGTGTTTAGTGGAGGAAGATGGGCTTGTGCACGGGGCCCGGCCTGGCACCACGCCCTCCCCAATAGCCGTTCCCTCTCTCTCCTTCCAGATGGACACGTTTGCAGATTTTGATACCATGACCGATCGGTTACTGGATGAAATCATTCAGCACATCCAGCTGTACAACCTCTCCATATCGCGAATTAGGTAAAAGGAAACCACAGGTAGTTAATGCTGGGGGGAGGGGCGCCATTTTTACGTGTTTGCTGTGTACAAGTTCAGCATGATGCCGTCTGTATACCGGTCTGGGATAAGTTAACTTGGGACCTTTAAGGGGGTAGATTACTTTCAGAACAGAAGTGGGTACCAGGGCTGCTTGACATGCCCATATCTGTCATAGCAGGTGTGCAGGAGAATAAACACCGTGTAGCTCAGTAGAAAGAGAACTGGACTTAAACAAATATCCTAGGTTTTAAATTCTCGTTCTTCTAACACTCACAAGTTTGTGTCCCGATTCTACCATATAACCTTTTACAAGCTTTCTACATCTCTGAGCCTCAGCTTCCCCATCTGTTAAGTGGGACCAGCCCTGAGGGGATGCGTCGCCTGCCCCGTAAAAGGGTTTCAATCAGTGCTAAGTGTGTCCTTCCACTGTAACAGGCAACTTGGCGTAAATATTGAGATGGTTAAGGTGATAGTCAGTAGCTTGTGTTTCTCAGGCACTTGCAGATGTGGACATAGTGGTGAGTCCTCACCATCCGTGACCCCATTTAGGCCCCTAAGATACCACTTCTTTATTCAACAGATGAGGTTTCAGAGGCCTACAGAGTTAGGTAAAAATAAAAGGACGCACACGAGAAGAGCTAGGGAGCTAATATAATATATAATATAATAGGGTTTTGATAAATAATCATTTAATTTGAAAGTGATGATGTGTCGAATCCATAGATCTTTGAGCAGCAGTGCAGCTGGAGCAGAGCATGTGCTGTGGGCTGAGAGCAGGCAACTCACTAACCGTACTGAGGGATGAGTAGAAGTGGAGAGGCAGGCAGAAGTCGGGACATGCATGGCCTCGTAAGCCAGGCTAAGGAGCTGGGGTTTCACCCTGTGAATGACCAGGAGGGTTCAATGCTCCGATGTGAATTTCAGAAAGAACCCCCAGGTGCACTGAGGGAGGCGTAGAGACCGGAACTGGGGGGAGGAGGGTGTTCTAATAACACCAAGATGCCCACACTTCTCTTCTGACCACACTGGGCTCAGAGCTTCCATTCGCAAAGGCCCCACCTCGGGCTTCACGTGGCCAGCGTTTAGAAACCCGATGGGGATGAGTTAGCAGCCCCCCTTCTCCCTGCCGGTTCCCCTAAATCCCATGGGAGGTGGAGGGTGGCTCACCCCTTGGCGCTCCTGGTGCAGCACTTCCCTGGCAGCCAGCCTCCTGCTGTCACTCACGTGGACGCTTCTGTCTCTCAACAGCTTTGTCGGCCATTCTCTGGGCAACATCATCATTCGATCGGTCCTAGCGCGGCCCCGGTTCCGGTGTTACCTCAACAAGCTCCACACCTTCCTGTCGCTGTCCGGGCCGCACCTGGGGACCCTGTACAACAACAGCACCCTGGTCAGCACAGGTAAGACTCTCTCCAGCCCCATCACTCCTCAGAGTTCATTCAGGACCCAGGGGCGGGGGAACCAGAGACAGATGCTCTTCTGGATGGAGCCTGTGGCTTTGGAACCTCTTCAAAGCGTGAGATGGTGGAAGGAGACCTGGGCTCAGAAAGATGTTATTTTGTTTGTGAGCTGAATGAGATTAGACAAGAGGTTTCGCAAGGTCTCTTCTGCTTCGGTTTTCCGTGAATAAAGATAAATAGTGGTGGGGAAGAAAGAGCATGGGTGTCTGTGCATTCAAGCTGTTGTAACAGATTGCCATAGACTGGGTAAGGGGGGGGTTACAAATAACAGACATGTATTTCTCATGCTTCTGGAGGCCGGAAAGCCCAAGATCAAAGCACTGGCAGATATGGTGTCGGGTGAGGTCCCGCTTCCTGGTTCACAGAAGGCCGTCTTCACACTGTGTGCTCACATGGTAGAAAGGTCAAGGGAGCCCCTGGGGTCTCTTTTCTAAGGTCACTAATCCCATTCACGAGGGTCCAACCCTCATGACCTAATCACCTTCCAAAGACCACAGCTTCAAATACCATCACATGGAGGGGTTTAGTTTCAGCATATGGATTTTGGGGAAACAAACATTCAGTCTATAGCAATGGGCTTTGAATCATGTCACTTCCATGACAAGCTTATGGTTAAGCTCTAACCCAGGCACTCGAGGAAGACTCTGACCAAGACGTTTCATCTCTGTGCTACTTAGTTTCCTTATTGGTAAAATGAAGCTAATGTGTATGTTTGTGTATAAGTATCGATACATGCATGATGTGTGTGTATGTATATATATACATATGCCTATCTGTAAACATATATATTTTATATATGTGTGTATGTGTGTGTATGTGTTTATATATGTCTATAAACATGTACATTATATATATACATATATGGGGGTGTGTATGTGGGTGTGAATGTGGGTGGGGGGGCCGTGGGGGGTGGGGCTTAGGCTCAAGGAACAGAAGGGGTCCAGGCGTGCCCCCCACCCTGGTGTCAGAGGACAGGGGACCTCACCTGGGAGCCTAGCAGGCTTCCTGGGCTCGAGTGGGTGCGGCAAACGCCCTCCTTTCCTCTCCTGCTTCTCGGGTCGTGGGTAGGGAGGGCCCCTCCCACCTGCCTCTCCTGATCTCCGCAGCCTCCCTCCTATCCTCCCAGGACCAATGCGGCTTGGGGGGTGGGCGTTGGAGGGCAGGGGACCAGCCTGGGAGTTCAGCAGGCTCCCCGGCCCCAGTGGGCCCAGGCGACCGCCCTCCGTTCCTCTCCCGCTCTTCCCGGAGAGTCCCTCCCGCCTGCCTCTCCTGATCTCCCCAGCCTCCCTCCTGTGCCCCCAAGGACCTACGTGGCCTGGAGGGGGCTCTGGAGAGCAGGGGACCAGCCTGGGAGCTCAGCAGGCTCCCCGGCCCCAGTGGGCCAGGCGATCGCCCTCCGTTCCTCTCCCGCTCTTCCCGGAGTGTCCCTCCCGCCTGCCTCTCCCGATCTCCCCGGCCTCAGCGGCACTGATCTTGTCTGGCCTCCACTTCTCCTCCCCCCTAGGTCCCCCTACGTCCTACTGGTTCACACTGGGGTTCCTCCCGTCTCCTTGGCGGTCAGAGTCCCCCACGAGCAGCCGACAGGCGCCCTAGTTGTGGGGAGACGCTAACTCCGCGTCTTCCCACACCGCCATCTTCCTTGCATTTTTATCAAATTCATTTCTTTGTGCTTGTGACATAATGCTCATTCTCATCCGTGTTAGTGTCAGCATGACCACAGTAAATGGACAGACTCCGAAATAGGTTGAATTTAGCTTTTTGATATCCTAAATGGACCTGTAAGGAGCGTTCTTACATACCTTCTTTCGGTACTTAGGACAGTTTCCTTAGGCTAGATTCATAGAAGGGGACTGAAAAATCAAAGGGTTTGGATAGTTTCATGACTCCTGAAGCCTGTCTCATAAGATTTTCTATCCCCGCTACCAGTACATAAGAACACAAATGTCCCTCTGACTTCCCAAGGATTTGTTAAATTGCCTAGCACGCTCTCATTTCTAAGTTAGCTAACAAATCACAGTTTAATGTTAATCTTTCCCCCATTCTTTTTTGCTTTCTTTTTGTTTGATGCATTTGATGTGGGTTTGGCTTTGTTTTTGTCTTTCTAGGCTTGTGGCTCATGCAGAAATTGAAGAAATCCGGGTCCCTTTTGCAGCTGACCTTCAGGGATAATGCTGATCCGCGCAAATGTTTCCTTTACCAGCTAAGCCAAAAAACAGGTGAGTGGATCCCCTGCAGCACCCCGAGGCCGCGATGAGTGAGAGACGGAGAGCCCACTCCTGAGACCCAAATTAGAGTCAAGGCTACGTTGACTCGCTCACAGAAGGATGCCACCAGGAGCTGCATTGTTACACAGTCTCCTCAACTCATGGAGAGGCCAACAGCTACCCAAGAACTCAGCTGCCCCTGGACCGCCTCCCCCCATGGCCTGGGGATGGTATCATGATGAGAGGCAGGTGTGTGCAGTGTCATCTCTACAGCAGAGCCGCTGCCCACCAAGCCTTTAATGTCCTAACTGCACAGGCCCCAAGGTCTATGTGCCAACTCCCAGCTCTTTCAGCCAGGTGCGGATCCACCTACAAAAAGGGCAGGTGGACACTGTCCATTTCTGTTGGCAGTGCAAGGGGAGATGGGGGTCCCTCTCGCAGGCCTGAGATCACACCTTCACCCGCACCCCGTAATAAGGAAGCACACATAGATGTCGAAGACCCTACCTGCCATGGGAGTGAACAGAGCACAGCAGTGGCCTCGTGTCCACGGAGAGAGCAGAGAGGCTGTCCGACTGTCCGCTCAGCCCTGCTGAGCAAGCCGGCCTGGCCCAGGGTCTGCCTGTGGTCCACAATCTTCCATTAATTTATGAACACTGACTCTGATGATATCTCTGTCTCCTCGAATGTGAGTCCGGCATAGCCCTGGGCTGACGATAACCTTGGTCAAGTTCCTTACCCACGTGTGTCTCTGTGTGCTATGTTGAGGGTTATCCCCCCCCATGGGGAAGTGAGGAAGGAGGCTTGGGCAGCAGGGCAGTTGGACCACAACGTGGTCGCCCCAGACATCTCAGCGGGCCCCACCCTCTGGGAGCTTGGGAGCTGGGGTGGCCCTACAGAGGTATCCTGACGGAGGGCGAAGGGCTGGTCTTTATACGCCCTGCCCCGTATCTGCCGGTCACTGAGTCCAGCCAGTCCCCAGTGTATTATGGTCTTGGGCTGTGATCTTGGATGAGAAGACTCACATCAGTGCAGGCGTCCCCCGCAGGGTCCCTGGGCTGAGAGCAGGCCGGTGGAGGACCTGGGCAGAGCACTGCAGCAGCTGGAGATCCCTGATGGGCTCTGGGGACTGAAAGAATAGGCTGTGATGCTTAATTTAAAAGATCCCTCTGCCTCAGTGTGAGACTGATTCCAGGGAGGTGAAGCTCCCTGCAGGGAGATGAGGTCAGAGGTTGATTTCCTCAAGCAGGTGACATGACCGAGGCTGGAACGAAGGGAGCCGTGGGGTTGACAAGGAGCAAAGTACTAGATTTACTTCCTCATGGACTCCCCAGTATTCCCAGCCCAGAAGGGCACATCTGTTACTTCCGTGTTGTTTGTCTCTCACTGTTCAGAGCTGTGTGTCTCCTTAGCTTCCGTGGCTGATGAGGACAAAGCTGCCGCCTTCCCTCTTTCAACCTCCCAGCCCAGAATGTCCTTATGCAGTGACTCAACCAGTGTGTCTGGTGTCTTCTCCCTTTTCCTCTCTCTGGGGCAAGTTTGTGAAATGTATGCAAAGCAGAGGCTAATATGAAACTACCTGGGTAAAAAGCACCCATCTGGCTTATTGCAGGTCTGCAGTATTTTAAAAATGTTGTGCTGGTTGCTTCTCCCCAAGACCGCTATGTGCCATTTCACTCAGCCAGGATCGAGATGTGTAAAACTGCCCTCAAAGACAGACACACAGGTGAGCCACATTCCTTTTACTTTTTTCTTTTCTTTCCTTTTCTCTTTTCTTTTCTTTCCTATTCTCCTTCTCCTCCTGCGTTTCAGTGACTTTCTGATTTAAAAGCAGAAGGAAATCATGAAGGTGCTGTACCCATTAGGGCACATCAGCCGTTCTGCTCAGGACTAGCCGCCCGACACACACCCAGCATTTTTCTCCAGATTCTGCTGCTGAGTTCTGCCCCCATCTCCCATCCATCTCCCCTCCTTGCAGGACCCGTTTTCGCGGAGATGATCAACAACCTTCTCCGCCCTCTGGTGGACGCCAAGGACTGCACTTTGATTCGACACAACGTGTTCCATGCCTTGCCCAGCACTGCCAACACCCTGATTGGCCGAGCAGCTCACATCGCTGTACTGGACTCCGAGCTCTTCCTGGAGAAGTTCTTCTTGGTGGCAGGACTCAACTACTTCAAGTAGCGGCTTTGAGGGAACGGCCTTGGGGAGCTCACCAGAAACGCTGAAGATCCGTAAGAGCTCTGGCTGAGACATCCTTTTACAGACCTCTGTCATTCCAGGCTGGAGCTCAGAGAGGAAGGCGCTGAGGGATGGAGGGTGGGGTAGGACCAGACACTCGAGGTGCTTCCACTTTGGAGATTTGGGAAAGCTGAACCAATAGTGTAAAAGACAACAGACTTTGCCCGAACCTGTCTAGCTATCTGGCGTCTCGTTCAAGATGCTTTCTAGGAAAATTCTGAGAAAATAAAGAAACAGAATACTTGGAGTTGGTGAGCCCACCTTCTTAACTACCACTGGCTCACAGAGATCACTCCAACTTAACTAGATTTGTTCGGTGTGTGACTAGTTCATAGCTTTATCATTTTTGATGCACACAAGCATTTCAGAACTCAGGTTAACCTCTGTGCAGAAGTGGAACATATCTGTGTAAATGCAATCCTTAATAGATTCAAATGTGCCACTTGTACAAGACCATGTGATGCCCATATTCTCATTCTCTCCTCATGTTTTCTCAACAAGGGACAAAGGAATGCTTTGTAAACTCCAATTTTATTTCATAACAGCAGTGGGTGGGGTGATTTGAGGTATGGGGAGAGGCAGGTGATGCTATCGGTAAATGCAAGTTTGTTGCAGAGAAAAAATAACTGGTGAA